AAGTATCGCTGGCAAAATCCTCGTTTGTGTTATTCTCAACAGTATAATCAAATATCTCATTGATGACATCTATCCTGAATCTCAGTGTGGTTTTCATTCAGGTCATGGAACCATTGATATGATTTTTCACTTCATCAGGTTGCTGGAGAAAGTTTGCAAGAAGAACCATAAACTCTATACCATCTTTATTGATCTGACCAAAGCATTTGACACTGTAAACAGAGGTGCCCTCTGAAAGTACTCAAAAAGCTTGGCATACCTGAAAAGTATGCTAAATGTCATCATCTTGTTTCATGAAGGAATGAAAGCATCTGTTCTATCTAATGGAGAGTTTTTCAAAAACCTTTGATGTAACAAATGGCACAAAACAAGGTTGTGTCATGGCACCTGTACTTTTTGTTCTCTTCTTTTCAGTCATGCTGCACCATGCCTTGAGTGATCTTGACATGCATGTAAAATTTGGTGGCCTCTAAATTGCTGACTCAAGCATGCATTATTCATGATCTTTTGCTTGTTGATGGTGCTGCAATCATGGCCACCTCAATTGAAGAAGCTCAATTATTTTTCCACTGCTTGCAATGCATTCAGATTAAGTATAAAGAAAACTGAAGTTGTCCATAAACCCAGGCTTAAACCTAAGCAGGTCAAGGGTGTAAAACAAAAACCACCTGCCCATAACTTTCCAATTATTCCCATTACTGTTGGCAGCAACAACCTGAAGTATGTGAAATCATTCTCGTACTTAGGAAGCAAAGTCAATTCAAGTGCCTCTTTGGATGATGAGATAGTTAATTGAATATCAAAGGCAATCAATGCCTTTGGGAAGCTTAAGCATCGCCTATGGGATGTTCATGAGATTTCACTAAAAATGAAAATCAGTATCAATCGAGCAGTCATTCTCACCACACTTCTTTATGGGCCAGAATCCTGGATGCCATACAGGACGCATTTCAATCAACTTGATGCTTTTCATAAACGCTGTCTTCATTCAATATGCAGTTATATACAGCAGGACAAAATCTCTAACCTTGATCTTTTCATCAAATATGGTGTTGGTGGTATTGAATCCTTTCTGATGCAATCACAGTTCAGATGGGCTGGTCATCAGAACAAGTGATGATCGGATGCCAAAAATCCTCATATATAGCCAACTTTTTCATGGTAAGCGTAACATAGGCTGTCCTTGCTTACGCTTCAAGGATAAACTTAAATACAATTTAATTGCTGCAAATACTCCTATAGAGGAGTTTAAACTTGCTGTTGAAAACTGAAGAAACTGGAGAAATACCTGCTACCGAGGTATAACTAACTTTGTAAAGAATCATCTTAACCATCTGATAGGATTAAGAATTAACACTAAATCTGTGCAGTGGCCCCAGGGGATCTATGGGACCCACATGTCCCACATACTCCTCAGGGAGTCTACAGGACTTGAGATCTGTAACCCACATACTGCTTAGGGAGTCTATGGGATTTGAGAGTTATGGCCCCATACTCCTCAGTGAATCTATGAAACTTGAAAGCTGGAGCTCCATACTTCTCAGGGTGTCTACAGGTCTTGAGTGTGTGTAAGTGATTGATTACTTAAACACAAGTTTTACAAGTATACAAATGTACTAAATATACTCAGCATGGGAGTTACAATATCAATCTGCTCCTGGATGCCCATGTACAGACTTGAAACTAATTATTTTTTATATTATTATTAATTAAAATGCAAATCTCTTCTTCAATGAAAGGGGCCATCACTTCATTTCTGTGTGAAGAGAGAAAATGTCATTTTCTATTCTTTCTTTCCTTTTTTTTCCCATTAAACTACTGTATTGATTAAAGACTTCACACCTAAGTTCACTTAAAAGAAAAAAAAGCCATTTATTAAGCTGTCAAAGATAAATTCTGATTGACTGACTGACTGACTGGTTGATTATTCAATTAAAATTACTGATGAATGGAAGTGTTCTGGAATCATGAGCAACATTAATATTGATTCTTATGCACCCAAATGATTTAAATACTCATCTTTGGACTTGGTACATCAGAAAATATATTCAAATTCTCTTCTTTGTTATTTTTTAAATTATGCTAGACATGATTAAAATCCCATCAGAACAGAACAAAGAATTCATTGTTTTATGGATAAATTAAATCTCTATGTTAAAAGCTTTAGCTTTGAAGATTTAAAAAAATTTTTTTTAACCAAATTTACCCCAAGCAAGAGAGTAAAGCCACTAAAGTACTAAGGAGTTACTGGGTGTGAAAGAATTAGAAAACAGAAACATTACTAAAGAGTCAGAACAATAGAAGAGTGATAAGGAAGACAGTAAATAATGATTGACATTGCAATTAAACTTTTGAAGATCAAAGTTGGCTAGAAAGCATGGAGCTGGAAGAGAGTTTCATGAGTAAGGAGTGTCAGAAAAGAAACTGTTAGCATAGAACTTAGCTGTAAACTTATCAGACCTTGTTGTCAATCTAGTACTGTGTTTAAATTCATAAAGTCTAGAATTCATCCAAACAAATACCATGGAAGTATTTGTAGAAAAGGAACTGGGAAGCAAATTTATGGTGGTAGGAAAGTGACTGAAGTCGAGATGCCAGGTCAGGTTCAGTAATATTGCTGATTCTTCTTTGGATTTTATCAGACACTATGTTGCAGCAATATTCTAAGCAACATGGGCGAATAGTAGACTTATAGATATGTAGGATAGATTCTGGAGATAAAAATTGTCTAGCACGAAAGTGAACCAATTTTTTTAGCAACTGACCTAGCAATGGATTCAATGAAGTTTTTCCACTTCATGTCAACTGAGAAGACAGAATAAATCACTCTCCTGAAGGTTAGCATCAGCCATGCCGATGGAAGGTAGAAAGGGGTTTCTCAGATATTTGCCTTGTCCCTTCAAGATATAAGTGATTATGACTCTTTACAGCTTCCTTTTCTTTATTATATGTGAATTCCCAATACTGTCTTGAGAAAGATAATGGAGTGATTTTCCATTGCCTTCACCACAGATTTGAATACATTGTTCTTCTCCTAGACTGGCATTATAAAGGCTAAATAGCCTAGACTACCATACTGTATGTTTCATTTCAGAAAATAAGTACAAAAACTTGTGATATTTAAAATTAAAACAAAAAAATTCTTAGAGTAAAATAATATATCTAAAAAAAATGTTCATTTTAAAAGTGGATCAGATAAAAAATATAGAATCAGGAATAATAACAGCAAAAATATGAGCACTGGTAAAGAATGGTTGCTGAACACATTAGGTTTATAATACCCAGAAATTCATACACAGATGTCCTCAAGGACACATGGCACAGTGGATAAAGGCATTAGTTAGATCCAGTGACAGGAACCAAAGAGCAATTTTTACCTGGTTAAGGCAGTGGAGAACAGGAGGTAACTGATAACTGACATCCATTAGACATGACACAGTCTACCCCAGTGAGCGAAATATAGGGTTTAGTTCGACATTCCAACCACTTGAAGAAGGCCAGAGTGTACAACGGCTGAAATGTTGTGAGGACAATAGTCTGAATAATGTAAATAGTGTACATAATACCTCATCTCAGAAATATAGATAGATACAGAATCAGGAATCTTTAAAACTGATTTTACCAGTACCTCCCAACTTCTCTGAAATCTGATTTCTCCCCTCTCTTTCATGTCTAGTGCCCTGTTTACTTCAAAGGCACTAGATAATGTCAATAGCAACAAAATTTTCCTGTCCAGAATTGATCACTTACTTTTTATAAATGTCTTAGATGTATGAATATTTGGACATCTATTACAAGGAAGAAAAGTCAATGTTTATCCTTTGTGCCTGCAAAAAATGGTTTGTGAAAAGGACAGTTATTTCCTTGAAACTACTTTTCGACCATTTTTTTGACTTCCTTGGCAATGATTATTTACAACATTATAGAAATATGTGAACCAAGTACAATAAAAACTGAATATACCTATATTTATCAAAAACCACGATTTAAGAAAACCCCAGAACATTCCAGAAAACAAATACCCTAAAAACTAAAAGTCCTGCTGTCTGTAATGCCGGAAATGTCATTTTTGCTCATGTGGCAAATTGCAATTGCAAATGTTTCCAAACCCACTTAAACTCTTGGAAATGAGGTTAACAGACATAATTCTAGATTCAAATATTTCCCTAAATACTTTTGAACCTATAAATGTGCCTATTTTCCCTAAACACATTTGAACCTATAAATGTGTATTCCAAGTGATATTATTTAGAGTTTGCCACATTCTTGAAGGAGGCTGTATGTTGACTTTTAAAGTACAACAACAAGTCCATCATTCGAACTGGTTCATTGTTTCCTTTACCTGGAAAACCAGGGCGGTGGCTCCTGTTAAGGCCCCAGCTATGGGCAAGTACATTTGCAAGTCTTGTCCACAAAGGCTTTCATGTTGCTGTGTTTGCTTTATACAAGCAAAATATTATTGATGAGACAAGCCATTATCAAATAAAGACTGGAACAAAGAAAGAAGAGATGAAATAGGCTGTGGTTGCTGATAAAGGCAAATTAATTGATTAATAAGATGCTATGCGTGGATATGAAACATCAACTGCATTTAAAAAGTGAATGAAATATACAACATAAATATATGAAAAGTTTAAATAAAATACAAAAGTCTTTGTATGAATACATTTGCATATATATATATATATATATATATATATATATATATATATATATTCAAAATTTTTAATAAAGAGTGAATATGTATCTACTTTGAAAAGACTATGTACCAAAAACAATATGAATTTTTGTACTTATCTGTTTGGCTTGTCACGAGCATGAAATACCTTAACTTCTAGGAACAAAAGAGAGAGATTGACTTTCCCGCCTAATGATGTCGCATGCAGATCTTGTCAAGTCATGTGACTGTTTTTTATTCTCATGAATATTTATAATTTATTTTTATTGCTATTTTTGTTTGGGTCAAGGAAAGAAAACTTTTTGTCTATTGTTACAAAGGTATGGGTATGACTATCTACCTCTCCTCCAGCAAAAATAAACAAGCAATGGTATGGACTAATCAAGAAGAACCAAAAGGAAACATCAAATAAATTATCAAATTGCAGATAATACATCAATGAAATTTAATTTTTCTTCTTATATTTCATATATCTTTTTTTTCACTCTTTTTCTTTCACTTTTGGATTAGGAAGAGTATAATTCCTATCTGTCCATAAAGTAATGCCAAAAAGTTCTCAACATATATCATAAAATCTGACCAAATGACAAAACATCAAACTTTCTTTCATTCATTCTTGATCAAACAAAGAACTTTTTCAGTGTCGTTTCAGGCTGATAAAGTTGAATAACATATGGGTACAAATAATTTTCAAAATGCTTTTTATGATCAAATTGCAAAGGATACTTAAATAAAATTTAGTTTTACTCTATATATTTTGTATATGTATATATATATATATATATATATATAGATAGATAGATAGATAGATAGATTGTATCCACATACAAACCTGTTTCATTGTATCACAGCTCATCAGTGTGGCTAGACATCCAATTGCTTCAAGCCAGAATATTCATATTCTCGTACAATTACCAAAGTTAAGCAATTTCAAGCCTGGTCTATCTAGATGCGTAACCATTTGGGAATACAAGTTGCTATAAGCTGACATGTACGGGTAGTGCAATGGGTAATGGCTTGAAATTGAAAATTAGAGAGCTGAGTTCCAATTCAAGTCATTCATTATATTCACTTATGCACAAATACCTTTGTGTAAGGTAAAATTCCACCTCTTCTCCCTCCAGCTATGAGTTAATTAGTTAGCATTTATTAAACCTTTATTATCTCAAAAAAATTCTCAGACTCTAAAAATATTTTCTAGCTTTAAATGACCTGCTAAAGGTTGATAATCCATAAAAAACCAAATAAACAAATCAATCAACCAATCAATCATCTTTGGTGTCTATTGATCCAGGTAACCTTCAGGGAATTTCAAACTAAATCTTTTATTGAATCTTTAGGACGGATTGTTCTCTTTTTACTAATTATAAGTATCCAGGGTATTCAGGCTAAATTTGACAGTTTTTTTTTTTAAAGTAAAACAAAGTGAATATCTAAGCCAAAAATCAAATAATTGGAAAAATAGGAAAGTGGCATCCAGGTTATAATAATCAAAAGACAATTCACTCAAAGTAGTCACCCTCAGTATCCACCATGACCTTGATCCAACTCTGGTATCTGGCACATGCATCCTTCATAGTGTCCCTAGAGAGAACCTCAAATGCCTCATTAATCCTGTCAATCAGCTGGGTCTTGGTGTTACAGGCAATGTGGTTGGTGTCTTTCTCAAGCATGCCCCACACATAATAATCCATGGGATTACAATCAGTGGAGTTATGGCTGGTGAAATCATAAAAATTATCTGACAACCATTTCTGACTATTCCTGGAGACCTGGCAGGGTGCTGAATGTTGCTGCCACACATATGGTCTTTCAACAGTGACCCTCTCCAACCAAAGCTTCACTCCAGTGTTCAGCAACTTCACATAGCCATCTGAATTGAGCCTGAGACCCTGTTCAAAGATGTGAGATGGCATGACATTCCCCTCACTGGAGACATACTCAAAAAGCATCCCAGTTTGGGGTAACTTGGTCTTCATAACACGAGGAACATCATATGTATTGGAGGCAAGCCATCTGTTGTTCTGCGTGTTGTGCAGCTGGTCCTGACAAAAATTGTTTTCATCAGAGAACTAAATTGTTCCCATTTTCCTTAAGACTTCCACATTGCTCACATGTTCTCTCCATTGTATTCTTAGCATTTGTTGGTTAAACCACATATCTGTCACTTCAAGTATCTTCTTAATCTATGAGGAGATTGTCCAGCATTCACTGCTAGAGAGAAGATTAGATATTTCATAGCAGTTCAGCACTCTTTTCTTTGAATCTATTCATATTTTCCTGTCTCTTAATACTTTGCTTAGTTTCTAGAAGGTATATTTTGTTATCCTTTTGTGCCTTTGGATTTCTGTCACATAATTGAATGTAAAAATAAAAATTCAGATATAACTAAAAATATATCTGCAAAAAGACAATTAGACATTAAATTAACATCACTTAGCATCCTCCATAGTTTACCTTGACTTTCACTGTTAGCCTAAAGTATATTTATGAGTGGAAAAGAAGGAAATAGATAAAAGAAGGAAGGAAAGGCAGAAAGAAAAAAAAGATAAGAAAGCAAGAAACTAATTAAGAAAATATTACAATAAGGAAGGAAAAAGAAAAGTAAGAAAAGAAGGAAAGGGATAAAGAAAGAAGGAAAGATAAAAAGAAAGAAAAAATAAGAAAGAGAGCAAGAAAATAATTAAGAAGGTATTACAATAACAAAAAAGAAAGAAAGTATGACAAAAGAAACAAAGAATGAAAAAATAAGAAAGAAAACAAGAACAAAATCAAGAAAGTAAAAGCAAACAAAGAAATGATATTGATAAAAAAGAAAAAATAAGAAAGAAAAGAAGAAAAATTAATCAAGAAAGGAAGAAGGTAAAATATATTGGTGGTATTTTTATTTTAAAAGCGTACAGGTTTGAATAGAACTTTTTGGTTATCCTTAAGGTCTTCTCCCTACATTTGGTAACCTTCAACAGAAGTTTGGTAACCTTCAACAGAAGTTTGTTTATCTTTCAGTGCTGCAGATCTTTCTATCTTTCTTCCTTTTATCTTTCTCTTTCCTTTCTTTGCTTATAGTACCTTTTCCCTTTCTTTCTTTCTTTCTTTCTTTCTTTCTTTCTTTCTAACTTTATTGCTTTCTTTCTTTCTTTTACCTTGCTCCTTCCTTTCTTTGATTTTACTATCTTTTTCCTTTCTTTTTTTCTTTCTTTCTTTCTTTGCTTTTAGTATTTCAGTGCTGCAAATCTTTCTATCTTTCTTCCTTTCATCTTTCTCTTTCCTTTCTTTGCTTTTAGTATCTTTTCCCTTTCTTTCTTTCTTTCTTTCTTTTTTTCTTTCTTTCTTTGCTTCTCATATTTCAGTGCAGCAGATCACACGTTTCAAACTTCCTTTTTCTGATATCTTCGTATCCCCTTCCCATCTTCATCGCATTTTCTCCCATTTTTTTGTTGATGAGGTTAATTCCACTTTTCAGTTTTATCTTTCTTCATATTTACAAACATATTTCTTCTCTTTTTTTTATCAGTTCGCACCGACTTTGAGTTATTGCCCTTTGTTATCGCAATTTCTGTTTGTTATTTTTATCTATGCTGTTTTCTTAATTATAATTGCCAATCTGCAATTCATAGCTTCTCCAAGGAGGTGTTGAAAAGTTCACAGCCTGACCAAAAAGCCCTTCTAAAGAAAAAAAAAAAAATAATCTGCCTGGTTGTTTCATCATATTTCGAGCAGTAGGTCAGGCTGAGCACTTTTCAACCTCCCCATTGAAATGTTCTTTTCACAAAGCCATTTTTTTTAATTATTTCTGCTAGAAATTCAGTAATGTTCTCTCTAATCTTATTAGCATATGTTTTCTTTTCAAGAAACATTTTATTTCTCTTCATGATTATATTTGTTGCCAACATCACTTCCAATGCATTAAAGCCAACAATCTAAATTTGCTTTCTTTCTAACTCTACCCTTGTTTTTCTATTACTCCAAACTTTCTATTTTTCTTACTTCATTTTATCTTGCTCCTTTCTTTCTTTAATTTTACTATCTTTTCCCTTTTTTCTTTCTTTCTTTCTTTCTTTCTTTCTTTCTTCCTTTTATCTTTCTCTTTCCATTTTTTGCTTTTAGTATCTTTTCCCTTTCTTTCTTTCTAACTTTATTGCTTTCTTTCTTTCTTTTATCTTGCTCCTTCCTTTCTTTGATTTTACTATCTTTTTCCTTTCTTTCTTTCTTTGCTTTTAGTATCTTTTCCCTTTCTTTCTTTCTTTCTAACTTTATTGCTTTCTTTTATCTTGCTTCTTCCTTTCTTTGCTTTTACTATCTTTTCTTTTTTTCTTTCTTTCTTTCTGATTTTATTACTTTCTTTCTTTCTTTCTTTCTTTGCTTTAGTATCTTTTTCCTTTCTTTCTTTCTTTCTTTCTTTCTTTCTTTCAACTTTATTGCTTTCTTTCTTTCTTTTAACTTGCTCCTTCCTTTTTTTGCTTTTACTATCTTTTCTCTTTTTTCTTTCTGATTTTCTTTCTTTCTTTTTTCTTTCTTTCTTTCTTTCTTTTCTCTTTGTGACTTTATTACTTGCTTTCTTCTTTTCACTATTTTTAAATCTGTACACTTTCAAAATAAAAATTCCACCAATTGTAACTCTATCAAATATTAGTGATGTTCCAGAGATAACAATGGATAAAATACTGCTTGCACTGTAAAATGTGAAATGCAGAAAAGCATTTGCTGAAATGGCTTCAAAACAGACTATTTGAAAGATGAAGAAAAATAATTCCACAATAGATTAGCACAGCTATTTACCCAGTGTATAAAAAGAGAAAGGAATCTAAGAGCTTCAGTCTATGAATAGTAATTCTACTTTATAAAAGAAGATAATAAAGACCTTGACAATTATTGCCCCTGTAGTGAAATCAGAATTGATGATTTAATTTTGTCTATTTTCCAATTTTGTAGTCATCATAACATAACCAGAACTGAAATACAACCCATGCATGACCTCAGATGTCTACACAGTCCTGTATTGAAATTAAAGCTTTCACCACATTTTCAAGCAGGTGATTGCTACATTTGAAAATATACATACATTCCTTCACCCACATTACTATTACATTTGAATACATATATACTTACACTGGTGGTACTGTTGTTTCATTTGTTCTTCCATGCTACCATGCACATTGACAAGCATCTGATGAATGCCAAAGGGTAAAACAGCCAAAACATTAAGATAGCCACAACAAAGATGAGAAAAATAGTCTATATGCAAATAAATGATAACTCCTTATCCCTGAAATTCAGACAGAAATAAACAAATCATTCTCAAAAGTACTTAAAGCCTCACAAGTACCCTTAATGAGAATCAGCCAGATGAACAAGCAGGTTTTAGGAGTGGCAAGCAATCATCTGCAAAGAACAAACTGAGTGAAAAAACTATAGAATATAACAAACCTCTTTATTTAGCTTCAATTGATTACAAAAGATTATTGTTGTAGTAGAACATGTGGCAGTCTTTAATGCACCACAAGTACAGTGTATTATTGAAAATTATATAAAACTTATTGAAACTAATATAAGAGTACTGTAATGATTTGACAACACAAAGTCACAGATAAAATAAAGATTAGAAATGGAGTGATACAAGGAGATATGACTTCACTTACACTATTTACAGTAAACCATAAAAGTATGTTTCGGAAAATGAATTTGGAAAGAAAAGGAGTAAGCATGAATAGAGAATATATTTGAACCATCTGCAATTTACTGACAGCATTTCATTTATATTAGAATTGTTGAATAAATGACAAGAAACGCTAAATAATCTGAATAGGGAAAGTCTCAGGTTGATTTAAAAGAAAGAACAGAAATAATATGAATGTAAAGTTCAATTGTCACATTAAAAAAATCTTTTGAACAGGAGTAGAGGTTTATCCTTATTTTCATGTTTAAGATTGGGTTTCTGGTTCTTTCTAAAATCTACTTTAACTCTGTACTTCTAACGTCTCTGCCATCTAAACTTTGAAATTTTATTTATTCTTTATTTTTTCATCCATAGGAGTAAATAACTTTGCCTATCACACAGTTCACTCTTCTCCTGAGAGGTCTTTTGAACAAGAGTAGATGTCTATCCCTTGTTTCCTGTTAAGGATTGGGTGTTCCAGTTCCTTCTAAAATCTACTTTAACTCTGTACATCTACAATTTGTGTTCATGCCAGGCTAGACCAAAAAATAGCCCAGCCCATGCAGCATTTAGCATTGATATTATTACCAAACCCACCTCTTTGATGCAATGAGGGAGATACTGCTGCTAGCAGCTGTTCCCTGAGACCAGGCATCTCTCAATAAGAATATTTTCAGTTGTGCACTGTCTGAAGATAGAGACACAAACGAGTTGCTCTCTGTCCAAAAACAGAGACTCAATTGAGAGATAAAATGTAATTTATCTACCTGAGGGCAAATATATATATATATATATATATATATATATATATATATATATATATATATATTTCTTCTATTATAATTTTGCTTGTCCTTCCCTTCATTAGGTTTTGTCAATACCTCATAAATAATAAACAATTTCATTATGATCATGTGGAAAGAAGGGAAAAGACACTACTTGGTTTCAGAGGGAAAATGAAGAAAGAAAAGATATAAATGGAATGAATGGGTCAAGATTTTAATTTTCAGGGAAGCACCCACATGGGTGTCATTCTCACAATGGGTGAATTGTCACTGAAATAGACGCTCACATGAGTGCCTGTTTCAGTCACAATTCTTGGGAGAAAAGCTGCTTGAGTGGAAGTTTCCTCTTATATTTAGAACTCAAAGGAAATGAAGACAATTCAACTCTGTGGATGTAATATGGCATGCTTCAGTAAAGAAAATACTGAAATATTTTGAAATCAAAATCATAAATGGAGTGAGAGAGAGAGAGAGAGAGAGAGAGAGAATCAGATTAAGCAGATAAGAACAGATACTCCACTTTGATCTTAGCCAAAAGACTGAGAAGCAATTGTATTTTGCTGCTTCACACTGGCAGGATGTGACACAAATGTGGGGAAATTGAGCATGTGTATCAGAGCCAGGACGAAAAATAGTTCACTGCCTATAAACATTGGTTGCATAGACATCGGTATTACTACTGATCTCCCCACTTTAGTGCATTGAGGAAGGTACTGCTGCAGGCAGCTGTTTCCTGAAATCAGACACCTCTCAGAAATATTTCAGTTGTGCAGACGGGGACACAACTGAGAGATAAAATGTAGTTTATCTGCCTGAGAGCAGATTCTACACTATGATCATAGACAGAAGTGCTAAAGGGTAATACTGTAATTATAATGATTTGCTAATAGGGACGGAGACACAGTGGATAGTGGCTCAGATTGAGGAATTGAAGAGTTGAGTTTGAATTCCAGTTGAATCCATTACATTCACTTATATGCTAATACTCTTGGGAAAGGTATGAAGCCTCTTCTTCTCCCCCAGCTATGGGTAAATAGCAGTTCAGACTGGGTTCTATAGCCTTGGATGACAACTGGTCTACCACATGTAGAATAACAATAATAAACAGCACTTACCGGTGTAAAGGTCCCAGCTAGCGTCCAGCTGGCAGACAAAAATAAAGCAGGTTGTAACTTAATACAAACCCTGCAAGCTAACAGATGAATCAAGCTGGTATCAAAATTATCAAAATTGTTCAATTATTTTATTTAAGCATCAGTATTTTGAATTTGCACAGTTCACAGGGAGGCACAGTGGAGTAATGAATAGAGGCTTGGATTGAGGAATCTGAGAGCTGAGTCTGAATTTCATTTGAATCTATTACATTCACTTATGTGCTAATAGCCTTGGGAAAGGTATGACTTCTCTTCTTCTCCCCCCAGCTATGGGTAAATAGCAGGGCAGGTCGTGTTCTATAGCCTTGGATGGCAACTGGTCTACTGCAGAAAGAAATGGCAACCTACTGCAGGAAAAAAAAATCTGCCTCATCAGTTATGTATCAAAAGATACATGATTGCCTAAGCATGTATCACGCATGGCACATAACTAACTGAATCATAGCTTAGATGTGACAAAAGTATGGAGCGTCCAGTGAGGATCAAACTCCCTACTCAGCCATAATTAATCATGCAAGACAAGTTTGCTATTACACCACATCAAAGTGCCCACCAATACTTTGATTATAAGTAAAGTTGTTGTATATCTTCCTGGTGGGAATCAACAGTGCCAATTCACTCATATTGTTATAACTTCTCACTCTCGTCTTCTCCTGGTGAAATGTTTTTAGGTCGAGAGATAAATGACATCAACAAAGATAATTTGAACTTAACTATTTTATTAACGTCAACGTATACATCTCTAACTATCCAGTGGGTTTGCTCTCCCTCCACTGGGAAGCCACTTCCAGACACACAGGAAAAAAGTCTATATTACATGACAGTTAAGAAACACCTCCTTGAAAACCTTTTATCTATCATTCCCACACTGTCTCAGCCAATCAAAATCAACTTTCTTGTTTTGTCTTCTATCTGACCCCTAAGGTCAAACTGAGGAAGTCTGAGCAAAGATACAATTCTCTAGAAAATAATAGTCTGCTAAACTATTATTTAACAGAGTAATAGGGGAAGCAACACTTCAATCTTTGGCATAGTTGACAATTAATCTTATCCTTGGCAGAAGTGCCAGTTCATATGTAAATAGCAACATTGTTTTAAATGCTAACTATACTAGTATATACAGGTCAGTGCTGAAAAGTTCTCAGCCTGACCAAGAAAAATATCTGCTGTTTGGTTCAATTCTGCTGATAACTTTTCAGCACTGTCTCAGATATATAAACAAATATACATTAAAGTATTTAGGCAACAATTCTTCATTTAAAGAATACAACAGTAATATGCTGCTCCAACTGCAAAAAAAAATAAAAAATTCTGGAAGTCCTTAACATTAAAAGAGGGCAATGCACTATCTATAAAATTCATAAAGAAAATAATTAAATGGAAAGTTAAAAAACATTGTATTGTTAGTTTTCTTAAGGCTGAATTCCAACAATTTTTTATTATCGGCCTATATTTCTGAGATGAGGTATTATGTACACTATTTACATTACTTGGACTATTGTCCTCATCTTTGTCACCATATTTATTACAATGTTTCGGCCATTGTACACTCCAGCCTTCTTCAGGTGGTTGGAATATTGAACTGAACCCTTTATTTCGCTCACTGGAGTAGACTGTTCTAGTTCCATGTGCCATGTTTAATAGATGTCAGTTGTCAGTTATCTCCTGTTAATTTTCCTCTCCAAGTTCTCCACTACCTTAACCGGGTATTGAACTCACACTCTTTTGGGTCCTGATAACTGACACCCATTGGATATGGCACATGGAACTAGAACAGTGAGCGAAATAAAGTGTTCAGTTTGACATTCCAACCACCTGGAGAAGGCCAGAAACGTTGTAATTAATATAGCGACAAAGATGAGGACAATAGTCTGAATAATGTAAATAGTGTAATTTT